GAATTGAAGAAAATCAGATGTCCTGTAAGTGTCCGGGAGAGAGTTCCATATTTTACTAGCTAAGTATGAAAAAGAGTGCAGACCATAAGTAGTTGTTTTTGGAATCTGCAACCAGTTTTTTACTAAATATACTGCTGACTTCCGGAGCTGGGAAAAGGAAAGGTTTCCGCCAAATAAAGGAAAAGCCATGACGATAGGTGTATGGGAGGTGGGTGTGGGGATTTGGTATGCATACCAAAATCCACACCCATACCACCCACATGATTCACATGTAGTCTACTGGTTGCCAGGCCTTTTGCGCGTTCAACAATTTCGCGCCCGCGACATTCGAGATGACAGTGAGTCGATCGAAACTCAATGGGAATTGTATTCAAGGATTTGTGTGACTCTTTCTTCCTCAATTACTGTTTTCTTATGGCTTATTCAGTCACTCGACGTTCAACATACTAAGTGGATGATGCCAGTGAAGCTTGACGGAGAGTTTACATTTGAAAACATGTTCAATATCGTGCTTTGTGGCGAGGATAAGGTTGTCTTTAGATAGCATGCTGACCGCCAGTATGGGATTCGTAAAAATTCGGACGATAGCTTTTCTGTTATCGTTGTCTCTTAGCTCGTCTCTTGTGCTATGGTGGATAACCCCGGCGGACTACTCTTTTAAAGGTAACAAAATTTATTCTTTCTCTATAGCTCTTGATATAATCGCACAAATTTTGAGGATAGTTCTGTGTATCAAAGCATCTACACTGTCAGTGTACACTCGTTCTAGCTTATATCATAGCTGGCTTGATTCAACGTGGAAGCGCTTCAAAAGTCGAAAACTCTATGCGAATTAGATATATACAACCTAAGTAATTTCCCCAGTCTAGACTGTTCTGGAATTTATGTTCGAAGTTGTTCCAGCATCAATCTGTCGGGCTTTGAATTTAATTAATAAGCTTTTGTTTTCACCAGTCGGTTTTTTCCCTCAACCCATACGAACAGTTGACAGTTCTACTTCAAATGAATTTTTATCTTTACTTTGTCGAAACAAAAAAGTTATTTATATTTTCAAAATTATCTTTGTAGTGGTACGTGGTGACATTTGACATGTGTTATCATTCATGCGTTTATAATCGTTAGCCATCTGTACAGTATTAGCTTATTCTGTTATTGTGATTGCGTCCTCATTTTCTCTTAGAGCTTATAAAAAAGATGTTATCTGGATTTATATCAAATTTACGTTGATTAAAATGCAGGGAATGTGCTAGATTTGACACTTGATGACAAGCTTTTATCAAAAATGATTTTTTTCCCTGACTGTAGTTAAATAATTAATTTTCTAAAATCTTCACGTTGTTAAGGTGGCAAACAAAGTTACATTTCAGGGGTTTCATTGGACATTTCAGTGGGAAGACAACAGGCAGGCGAAAGTTTTCAAACTGAATGTCTTTACTATGGGAAAAAATTTCATCTAAATGCTAAAAAAGTAGGTGGGTACATGTACATGCACATTCATTCTCACAACGAGTCAATTTGTCCTGGGCTGGGCATTTTACAGTAAAACATTTAAAACAAGATGATTCAACATATAACAACAACAGCAGGAAACTTAATATGCCTGCTTTTAAGCAATCAGTGGCTTAGTACAAATAATAGATGATGGCTTTGTAATGATTTTGTTTTTGCTTGTCAAACTTTGTAAATGGAGAATTTCTATTCAATGTGGGAATTAATGATAACTCTATCTATGCTAACAAACAATTCATTAACTTAGAATTGATTGATATCCATGATATCTATTGGTTTTATACCTAGCTCCTATTTTTAGGGTTTCAAAAAGGTGCTGGATTGACAAGGTGGCTTTTAAACATCCAGCAGAAGTAATTACTTATGTTAATAATACCTGATAATCAAGCCCTGCTATTCAAATTTGGCTAGCTCTGCTGTCTACTATTGCACCTGTGTTGGATCGCAATGAACCATCGGTTCCCTCTTTGCTCCAATATCAGTCAACTTGGTGCTTCTTTTCAATTCATTCTTGGAAAATGCCAGAATACAAATTGAAGCCAAACATTCAGGGCAATTTTCAAGCAGCTGTTAGTTTCATTTTGTAAATACATTTTTTAACTGAATAGAGTATTGTAAAAGTGAAACCTCCTTGTAGGTATGCAAGTTTAAATTTCTTGTATTCCATTGCACAGGAATTTATATGCAAGTTTAAAAGTTCAATTCATATCTTAAGCAATCCTGTTTTAAAAAATAATGAAATTGTGATGTCTGTTGTCTGAACTACTGAGCGGTGTATTGATCAGCAATGTCTGTGGTGGGTGACCAGTCACATTTGAAATGGAAGTGTTCTGCCCATGTGGTAAACTTAAATATCTTTGAGGTACAAATGAATGATACTAGCAAACAGGCTTTTAGCCTGATGGGCATCCAGGCATCCTGTGGATGGCCACTTATTAAAGAAAATCGTTTTATTGTTCTTATGTTGCCTTATACATTGTTCATTTGAGCAGGCCCTATAGCACATTTGGATGCCCACTTTTCAAATCCTGGCTAAAAGCCTGCTAGCAAATGTTAGGTGGATTCCCCACTAGAGGAATGTGAAACCTTCACCATATGTGGGACTGACTTATTAACATTTGCCATTGTTTCAATTGCTCTGTGTCTGTTTTCTGTGGAGTTAAATCAGCTAGGGTCCTGTATGAAATGTTTTAACCTTGTAGGTCAGAAATTACCCTGTGAAACAGAGATTCTGTTCT